TACATACATAGACACATACATACATGCATGCACGCAAACACGCAGACACACACACACACACACACACACCAACAGACAAACAACCAAGCAGGCAAGCAAACAAACAACCAAACACACACGCACACACACACACACAAGCACACAAGAAACGCAAACGAATTCCAAAAAACACAAACGTGTGTGTGTGTATATGTATATATATATATATATACATATATATATATATATATGTATACACATACGTAACACGTGCATACATACATATACATATACATATATATATATATATATACATATATATATATATATACATGTATATATGTGCGTAACCTTCACATGTAGATTCGGACGCGTGTGTATATGTGTGCGTATATATATATATATAATGCACACATGCATGTCTGCATGCACATGGGCACCTACATCAGACTCGCACCTTGTGACTGCGCATGATGTTACCGTACTTGCTTATCTATGTGCATGCAAGGACATTACATGTACGAGTTGTACATGCACGCGCACACAAACTTTGACTATCAGTGCTTCACTACCAATGCGACCCGAAAGCCATGAAAATCCGCCACACAAGACTTGCTGCCAAGAAACGCCAAGCTACACGGAACCTTAGCAGCGCCCCTTGCTTGTCCCTAGTCTTGTCCCCCTCCCCAACACAAAACTTCAAAGTTTGTACGCCTAAGGGGACGGCTCGCTGGTCGTTTGGGGCAACCAGTCATTGGGCGGGGATTGCCTTGAAGTGCAGGACTTGTGTGCGTGTTTTGGGGGTTCCGAGCGTACGGTCTACGTTTCAGGTGTAGTGTTATTCTTGTGTCTTTTGCTGTGATGATTACAGTGATTGTTTCCACTGTGGTTGAAGAACAGCAACAAAATCACTAGTCATGACAGTCGAGGACTGACGAACATCCTACATAATTGACAGCACCCACTAGGGCTTACCGAGCACGGTCGTGAAGTTTAGTCGGGTTGGACGTGTTGAAGGTTGTGAACCGCACTTTGTCCACATGTTATCGTGTTGATATAGCTATAGGGGTAGAGCTACCGCTGGTTCAGGGGTCCAGGAGACACCGGGTGCCTGTTTCCGATCAGGTTTCTCTATGGAATCCGTGGCTTCCCCGTTCTCAAATCGAACCCGCTACCGCAGCTGCTGTCTCCTATACACACTGCGATGGAGATTGATCTTGAGACCAGGAACTTAAGGCCGACCCAACTGCTTATCCGCTAACCGTTACCGCAAACCCTCCCCCGCTCCTGACTTGAGCCACAGAGGAGCAGCTGAAAGAAGTGGAGGATGTGATCTTCTCTCATGGAGCGACCTAGCCAAAGAGCGTAGGGTGGGAGGTTTCAGGCTTTGACGTGCATAAAGCTAATCAGTTTTAAGCCAAAAACAAACCCGCTAAAGCACCACACGCTAGAACTCTAACCCTATAAGACTCCAAGTCTACAAATAGTACCTACTTTGGGGTCCAAAGTCTATAAATGGTACCTACTTTGGGCTATTTGGCGTCTTAGGGTAATCCAGCACCAGCAATCAAAGGTCGAAAGGGTTCCATCGCGATTTCGGGTTCAGGCTCGGAGCCGTGTGAAGTGGAGCATCAAGCATGAAGGCACTGTTGATGGGCCCTAAACCCTAAACCCTAAACCCTTTTAGGGTTTAGGGTTTAGGGTTTTTTGTTTTTTTTGACACCAGGTGGAAAAGAGGTGTCAAAAAAAACCCTAAACCCTAAACCCTAAACCTTAAACCCTAAACCGGACGGACGGATGGACGGACGGATGGATCCATCCATGGGTTCAGGCCGGGGCTCCAGTTGGAGTTCAGGCTCCCAGAGCCCCACAGACAGGCACCGTTCAAGCGGTTTAGGGTTTAGGATTTAGGGTTTAGGGTTTAGGGTTTAGGCTTTAGGCTTTAGGGTTTAGGGTTTAGGGTTTAGGGTAACCCATCATCACCGCGACCCGCGTCCCCTCTCCGAAGAGANNGAGATATTGTCTGCTCAGGGCAGGGGAATTTTCAGCAAGGCAGTCGTGATTCCTCGTAAGGATGCACCATCCCAGTCATACACCGGAATACCCCCACCTGGCAGAAGGAATCACCCGACTCCCACATGCTATCCCTCACATTCGCCCTCACGTGGGTCAAAGCCACTGGCACTCGAAGTTGTGCTGAGGCAGTGTTGAGAAGCTTGATAATGCTGCAAGGGCTCAGGTACTTTTTGGGATGCCGTTGCCCCTAAACCCTAAACCCTAAACCCCTAAACCCCTAAACCCCTAAACCCCTAAACCCCTAAACCCCTAAACCCCTAAACCCCTAAACCCCTAAACCCTTAAACCCTAAGCCCTAAGCCGACAGCACACCGTA